CATTGCCAATGTGTGTTGTTATTTTAATAGGAAGGAAGGAGAGAAGGAAGGACGGTCAGACGTGGGGACAGAACAAGCAGAGCCACGAGGCGGACGCTGGCGGCCCCGACCCAAGAAGCGCCTGGAGGGAGGCTGTCTGGTGAGGCCACCTCAGCCCCTCAGCCCCACCCCTCCCACCCCTACCCCTCGATGTTCCCGTGTGCCCGATTCCAGGAGCACCAAGCAAAATGCCCGAGAGGCTAAACTGCAGTGACAATAACCATAATATTCCTTCAGCCTCACAGGGTAGTGACTCTCACGAAAACATTCAACCACTCATGGGACAGAGATGGAGTTGGATTCATGCTTGCAGAGGCTGGGAGAAGAGAGATCGAATTTTCCTGACTATGTTCCACGGTGTAAGCCCAGCAACCCCACCGGGCCCACAGGCCCTGCCTACCTGCGTCCCCCATGAGTCCCGGCTCCATCTCCATGCCTTCCTGCTGCTGGTAAAAGTTCTCATAGAAGTTCTGGGCTGGTGGGATGGGGGGCATCATTCCAGAATGTGGGGAGTCTCCAGGGCCATAAGGCATCATTGGGGGGCCACCAGGTCCCATGGGCGGGCCAGGGTTCATGCCAGGGCCCATCGGCATGTCGGGGTGCATGTCGGGGTGCATGTCAGGATGCATGTCCGGGTGCATGTCGGGGTGCATGTCGGGATGCATTGGGCCCCCCATTGGCCCCGGGGGTCCCATATTGGGCCCAGGGCCCATCGGCCCGGGGGGTCCTCCAGGTCCCGGGAACCTAGGAGAAGGAGGAAATGGTGTCTATGAGAGGGGTTCGGAGAAGCGGGGGGGTCACACCCCTGAGGAGGTGTGGAGGCCTCCACACGGTGCGCAGTGGATGGCTCTAGACTAGGGTTGCCAAGTGGTGGTCCGTGGACCACTGGTGGTCCGGGAGGTACTAAAGGTTGGTGACCGCTGGTTTAAGGAAACCTTTGGAGCAGCGGTCGTGGACCACTGGTGGTCTGTGAGGTCCGAAAGGTTGGTGACCACTGCTCTAGACCAGGCCTCCAATCGTTTTGGAGGCAGCAAGCTGCCCTGACCAGGCTCACAGTGACAGGTCCCGGCACTCACCTCACACCCAGCTTCTCAGCCAACTGTCCTGTGGGCCGTACCACGATCTCAAACAAGGAGGGGATCTTCTTGTTGTACAAGTCCTGCTGCTGCTGCAGCTGCTGGGGGGACAGCGGCTCGTGCACTGGCATGGGCATCTGCGGGGGCCCGGGGGGCGGAGGAGGA